AAATGTGTACACACAATATCATTACTAGATCGGTATCCCAATGAAATCAAAGAGAAAGGAAAAGGACCTGTATGTACAAAAATATTTATAGCAGCTCTTTTTGTGGTGGCAAAGAACTGAAAATCAAGGGATGCATATCAATTAGGGAACAGCTGAACAAGTTGTGGTATATGACTGACAGAACACTATTGTGCTATAAGAAATGACAAGCAGGATACTTTCAGAAAAACTTTGTAAGATTTACACGAATTGATGCAAAATGAAGTGAGCATAACACTGTACACAACAATATTGTAACAGCAATATTGTAATGATGATAAAATGTGAATGATTTAGCTATTCTTAACAATACAATGATCCAAGACAATTCTAAAGGATTTATGATGCAAAATGCTATTCACCCTCAGAGAAAGAACTGATGGAGTCTGCATGTGGATCAAAGCATAATTTTTTTTACTTTATTTTTCTTGGATTTTTGGGGGGGGTTTGTGTTTTCTTTCACAGCATGATTAATATGGAAATATATTTTGCATGACTACACATGTATAATCCACACAAAATTGCTTGCCTTCTCAATGGTGGGGGAGAGATAATTTGGAACTCAAGATTTTTTTTTAAATGAAAAAAAAATTTTTACATGTAATTGAGAAAAAAGTAATTCCAAAAAAATTATAGTGACCTTTAAAAATGAAAAATATTTAAAATATATAAAATCATAAAACTAGTTATAAAATAATTACAAATATTTTGTGTGGTGCATTCTGTATTATTAAAAGAAATAATCCAGCAAGAGCCCATGTACTTACTATTATCTGCAAGACTTCATATTAAATTTATTTTGTTGAATACAAATAACATTTTTAATGAAATAAGTTACAACTTGGAAGATGTTTAACATAATATAATAAGACGTAAACTTAATATTGACGTTGGGCTTTTTGTTTGAACAAAAGTTTGCAATAATTGGCTCAATATCAAACAGTTTTAAATCTCATTCTGCATGGAGTTTGTTTCTGCATTTTTATTTAAAACAAGAATAAAGTGAAAATACTCACACAAATATGTGGTAGAAAATAATTGGAGAATTTCACAAGTTCATTAGCTGAAAATGTAAATTCATTAAAAAAATTTTAGCCACCCAACCAAGTGAAAAAAATGAATAGCTAGTTATGATATAAAATATGTACTTCTCAATGGGCTAAAGACAAGTGCCGTATTAAATGATAAATGTCTGACTGCATACAATGCTTCCTTTTAAAACAACATTTATATACAAACTAATCTTTGAAAGGAAAGACTCTCTTCAGACATGACTTTCTTTTTTTCTACCAGTGGCACACAGCTATACTCCCACAAAATATTTACTGAATGACCAATGTTGTCAATCAGTTCATTTGAAAATCTGCCAGAGGGGCAGCTAGGTGGTGCAGTGGATACAGTACTGGCCCTGAAGTCAGGAGGACCTGAGTTCAAATCCGGCCTCAGACCAAACACTTGATACTTACTAGCTGTGTGACCCTGGGCAAGTCACTTAACCCTAATTGCCTAAAACAAAACAAAAAAAAAAACCCAAAAAAAGAAAATTTTCCAGAGAAAATAGTAATATAAATGAAGGATAAGTTTAAATCAGAAAAGTCTTAATATTGTAATATAAGGTGTTTCTGCAAAACACTTGTGATCGTCTGTGAAGGATTCAAGATGGTTTGTAATGTGCATGAGCATGTGCTCGGTGATTATGATTTTCAAAAAGCCTAGTATTTGCACTAAAAGAATGCAAAGAAGGTAACAGTTTGATCATGTGATTACATAGTTGATGAGGTACAATTACCAGGTAAGAGGGGAAAAAGGGAGCCATTCCAGTGCAGTATCTGGAATATAAATGAAGTTACGTGCCTGCATCTGATCATCCTCTGGGAATTGCTTTGTACTCGAAGGTTGAATGCTTCTGACAGTTTGGAAACAATTTGATGACAAGCTGAGAAACTGCAATAACGTGTTGTGCTTAGAAGTAGTTGAATAGAACTGCTGCATGAACAATAAAATCATTGTATGTGTGACCATGACATGATGAAGCGAACCTGCAATACTTCGAACATGCACATCCTTACTATTGCAGAGGAAAAATATATTTGCAAAGTAAGTGGGAAATTTTTTGCTGCTTAAGGCAGAACCCCTTGGGCCATCACTGCAAACCCTCAAGGATTTCTCAAACCTCTAACTGGGAACTACTCCCCAACATGGCACCAACTTATATGGTTTTCTCAATTCAATTCAAGTCTTTAGCAAGCATTCATTAAGTAATAACCATATATGGTAGGCACCATACTAGACCCTGTGGATACAAAGACAAAAACAAAACAGTCTCTGTCCTTAAGGAATCTACTGAGGAAAAGCACCATGTACATAGATAAGTAAATAATATATACAAAGTAAATATAAAGTAATTTGGGGAAGGGAGCATTAACAACCGAGAAGGGTTAGTAAAGGACTCTTGAAGAAAGTGGCACTTGAGCACAGCTCTGAAAGAAGCTAGGGATTCCAAGGGTAGTGAAGAGTGTGAACATTCCAAGGCACGGCAGATATCAAGTCAGAAGATGAAATCTTTAGGATAGGGGAAAGAAAGTAAGTCAGTCTGGCTGTAATGCACAGTGTTATGGGGAAGGGTGATATGAAATAAATTTGGAAATACAGGTTGTTGCTGGGTTGTCACAGTTGTCAAGTTGATTTATAATTTATCCCAGAGCTGTGGTTAACCATTTTTTTTGTACCATGGACCCCTTTGGCATTCTGGTAAAGCCTGTCCCTTTTCAAAATATTATTTTTAAAAACATAAAATAAAATACACAGGATTACAAAGGACTCTAATTATAATCAAATGAAAATTTTTCTCATCCAAGTTCATGATTTCCCTGAAACCTATTCACGGGACCCCTAAGTGGTCTGTGGACCCCAGCTTAAGAACCATTGTCCTAGAGGGATTAAGGAAACTTAAACTTTAGGAATATCAATTTGGCAGCTATGAAGGACGGATTGGAAAGGGGAGAAAGTGGAAGCTGAGTGACAAATTAAGAAGTTACTGCAATAATCTACGAGAAAGGTAATAAGGGCCTGAATGAGATTTGTAGCCATGTGAATAGAGAGAAGACGACAGATGTGAGAGATGTACAGGTATAATTGACAACAATTAACAAGTACCGGACATACGGGGTGAAGAAAGTGGAACAGTTGAGCATGATGACTCATAGGTTATGAACGCGGAAGACTAGAAGGCTAATGGCACTCTTGACAGAAACAATGAAGTTGGGAAAGCAAGTGGGCTGAGGAGGAAAGATTATGAGTTCCATCATGGAACTCATAATTTAAGTTTGAGCTGTTAATTTAAAAGTTTAAGACGTATCTGGGACATCGAAGTGGAGATGTCCAGTAGGCAACTGGTAATGTGAGACTGAAGACTAAGAAAGAGATAAGGGCTGGATATGTAGATTTGGGAGTTATCTACAAAGACATGATCACTGAACCCAGGGATACTAATAAGATCACTGAGATTATAGATGAGAGTGGGAGCCCAGGCAGACACACCCACACACACAGAGTAGGGCACAGAAGACGGCCTAGCAAAGAAGAATGAATTTATGCTTTAGCCGAACTGGACTACTCACTGATCACCAAACACATTTTATGTTTTATTCTTCCCCACAATGGCATCTTTCAGCCTGCTGTTCCTTATGTCTAGAATGACCTTCCTCAATCTGCCTATCAACAACATACCCATTCTTCAAAGCCCAGCCAAAACACCACCACATACTCCATGTACCTTTTCCCGATCTCCCAGCTGAGAGAGGAAAGCTTCTTCCTTTCACAACAACTTCTCACATATATAGAGAGCCATTCAGTGCTTTCCTCACATGAGGTAGAGAGGGCAAGGATTATTCCATTTTATATATAAGGTTACTGAGGCTAAGAGAAGTTAAGAGCCTTAACCACATTAGAAGCCAGTTTAACTTCATCTAGAACAAAATCATTCAAGATTAACTCCCTAACTTCCTTAAAAAAACTAGAGTAGATAGAGAAATACTACAGACATAGTCTACCTCAATTTAAGTAGGAATTGAGACAACATTTGTAAGGGATGTCCTAGGTGGGCTTCCAGCCCAGGCATAGGTTAGATGACAACACATCTGAGATCTCACACTGCTCTAATTCTAGACTATGGCCTCTCTAAGCTTCAGTTTCCTCATCAATAAAATAAAATGTTTGGTCTAGATTATCTCAAAAATTCCTTCCAGCTGAAAATTCTAAACTATGCATCATTCACTTTTTCATTCAAACATTCATTCAATAAATCTTTAGTCAGTCTGTAAGGTACCATGTTAGGCACTCTGGGGAATAAAAAGATAAATAAGACATGGTCACTGACCAGTAAGTTTATAATCTAGCAGGGGATGTAAAACAAATATACACATAAAGCAGAATGTGATAAGTACTATAAAAGAAATACAAAGTATAATAGGTATTCAGAGGGAAAAGAACAGGGAAAAAGTAAAGGATGCCGGCTAAAATCCCTTAACAACTTGACTAGTTTAATAATGGCCAGTGGGTTGAATATACTTTATCTAATATTAATTTCTTTTTTACTACAGAGACTATGATAGTCCTATCAAGGAGAAAGAAACTCAGTGGCTCTTTAGTTTGTGGTAACAAGAATTAACTAGTGCCTCAGAAATCTACTACCTTAGTAACATCACATATGGACCATTTTTTGTAACAATTAACTTTTACTGGGAAAGTGGAATAAAGGAGATGCCATAAATTGTATGGGTTACTTCTTTAAATTTAGACAACAAAGTTTATTTAGGGGGTTGTCTTTTAGAGATTATTAGTTAGGATTATGATGTATATCTTTGTAACATTACTATTACATATATCATATTAAAATCCCTTCACATCAAAGTTGTTAGTTTATTTTTTAATTACTTATTTTCACTTTATCATAGACTCACCGATTCTTTTCCAGCTCATTGTGTGTAGACCTGAAAGATGAGTAAGAGAGAGAGAAAGAGAGAGAGAAAGGAAGAAAGAGAGAGAGGGAGAGGAAGAGAAGAAAGAAAAGGGAAGAGAAGAAAGAAAAGGAAAGAGAAAAAGAAAGGGGAAAAAAAAAAAGATTAGCCAAGTTCTATTGCTGGGGGAGCAAGTCAATCACTAATGATACTATTAGCACATTCCAGTGAATATCCCTAATAGTAAAACATATAGTACCTTTCTAATTCTACTTTCTAAGAGTAAGCCTCTATTCATCTAAATTTATTTATTCAGATTCAATGTTTTCTGTTTTCAGTGTGAAAAATACCAGTAAAATACTAAAGCTAAAGTTATGTAATTCTATTAATAAAAGCAGCACTGAATTGTCTCAAGTTCTTTCTTGCTATGGAGAAAGAAATTGTATAACAAGTCCAAAAATGAACATTTTATTAAAACCTCTAAGGTACCAATATGGTTGCTTATAATGGTTAGGGCTATAGCTGAAAAGAAAAGGGGTAAAATTGAATAGCTAAAAAATTCAAGATCCCTACACCAATTACTAGAATTACTGCAATCATTAATAACTATTACACATTTCAGTTCAATTCTGACTCCTTCAAAATAAGATCATCAGGTCTACGCCATACAACTTCAATATTATGACATTTTCATCACACTACTGATAGTTTCAATAATTTCAGTTCCATTTAACAAACATTTAATAAGCGCCTGCTATGTTCTGGGTACTACTAAGCATTGAGGATACAAAAAAAAAAAAAATGACAGTCCTTAAGAGCTTACACTCTACTGGAGGGATACAATATCCACACCAGTAAGTAAATACAAAGTAATTACAGAAAACAGATGGACAAACACCTGGGGCTGGGGTAGACAGAGGTCAAGAAAGGCTTCCCATAGGATGTAGCACTTAAGTGGAGCCTTGAAGGAAACTAGGGAGTCTAAGAAGTAGAAGTGAAGGGAGAGTGCATTTTTCACATGGCAGATGGCTTATGTAAAGTCGAGGAAACAGGAAATGGAAAAGCCAAATTCAGGGGATAGCTATTATTAATCCAGTTTGGTTAGATGGAATAATAAGAGCTAGATTATGAGAGATTCCAACCTGAGAGATTCACATTTTTATTCTAAAGGTAATGGGGAGCCACTAAAGGTTGAGCATAGGCAGGATTATAGTCAGACCTGTAAGATAGGAATACTAGTTTGACAGTGAAGGATGGGTTGGAAAGGGGAGAGACTAGAATTAGGTCAATTAGGAAGCTACTAGAATAGTCTAGGTAAGAGTTAATGTGGGAATGAACTAATGTAGAAGTTATATGAGTACAGAAAATGGGACAGATGCAAGAGATGTTGTGGAGGTAGAATTTTAACAACTGATTTGATTTCATAGGTAGGGGAGTCAAGGATGACTAGAATATTATGAAACTAAGTGTCTAGGACAGTGTGCTATCAAAGGAAGAGGAAATTTGGGGAAAAGATAGCTTTGAGGGGAAATATGAGTGTTCTCCTGAATATCTTGAGTTTGAGATGGTAACGGGGGACATGATGGAGATAGAGATGTCAGACGGATGGAAATGCAAGGCTAGGGGTCAGGAGAGAGATTAGGAGCAGGGATGGAAATTATGAAGTCATTTTCATGAAGAAAAGAGGCTGGAGTACAGTAGTGAATATGACACTGGACTGGGAGTCAAGACAACCTGGGTTTAATTCTGCTTCACTCATTTACCAGCTATATGGCCCTGGGAAAGTCACTCAACCTTTCTGAGTCTCAGTTTTCTAATCTGTAAAATGAGGGAGCCAGACTTGATATCTAGGGTCCATTTCAGCCCTAACCCTATCCTAAGTTAAGATAATCACTGAACCCAAAGGAGCTGATAAGATCACCAAGAGGTGAGAGGGAAGAGAAAGGGGTTCAGGACAAAGCTTCAGATGTCATCTACAATAAATGGATGATGATCCAGCAAGGTCAGACAGACAGGTAGAAAATAAGAACAGAACAACATCAAAGAAGCAAAAAGAGGAAAAAGCGTCCAAGAAGAAGTATATCGACAGGGTCACAAACTACAAACATCAAATTAAATCAAGACAGAGAAAAGAACATTGATGGAGCAATTAAGAGATCCTTAGAAACCTGAGAGAAAAATTTTTGTAGAGTGGTAGGGCTGGAAACTAAGTTGCAAAGGATTAAGGAGTGAATAAAAAACCAAGGAAATGGAGGCAATGGATTTAAATGACCCTTTCTAGGAGTACTGCAATAGCCTTGCTGTTTGTTTTTCCTTTCTCCCACTCCAGTTCATTTTCCACTGAACTGACAAATTCTCCTAAAGGACAAGTCTGACCATGTCACCTCCTCTCCCATTTCAAAAACTCCAGTAATTCCTTATCACCTCCACAATCAATGATAAAATCCTAACTTTCCATTCTTCTTAAACCTTACTCTCTTCCAAGTACTCTGGGACGCAGTGACACTGGCCTCCTTGCTGATCCTCAAACTAGTCACTTCACCTCCATCTCCAGGTATTTTCACTGGCTGTCCCCCATGCCTTCAATGCTGTCACCTCCTCATCTCCACTTCCTGACTTGTCTGACTTCCTTTAAGTCCCAGAAAAATTCTACCTTCTATGAGAAGCCTTTCCTGGTCCCCCTTAATGCTAGTGCCTTTTATCTATTATCTCTAATTTACCACGCGCGCGCATGTGTGTGTGTGTGTGTGTGTGTGTGTGTGTGTTCGTGTGTCTCCCATTACATTGAACTCCTTGAAAGCAGGTACTGATTCTTGCTTTTTTTTTTTAATATCCCCAGCACTTAGCAGAGTGTCTGACACCTAGCAGATGCTTAACAAATGTTTGAAGAGATACATGATAATAGCTGAAAGGGACATAAAGGTTAAATAAAGGTTTTCTGAAGGGTGGGGAGACCTATGAAAGGGCAGCTAGGTGGCACAGTGGATAAGAATGCTAGGCCTGGAGTCAGGAAAACTCATCTTCCTGAGTTCATATCTGGCCTCAGATACTTATTAGCTGAGTGACCCTGGGCAAGTCACTTAACCCTGTTTGCCTCAGTTTCCTCATCTGTAAAATGAGCTGGGGAAGGAAATGGCAAACCACTCCAATATCTTTGCCAAAAAACTCCAAATAGGGTCACAAAGAGTCAGATATAACTGAAAAAACGACTGAACAACAACCAAAAGACCTGTGAATGTTTATAGGTAGCAGAGAATGAACCAATTAAGGAAAAACTGGAGAGAGGGATTGAAGGGACAAGTTCTTAGAAGAGACAGAAGAATAAAAGTACAAGCAAAGAGAAGGCCCATCTTCCTCAGAGACTGGAGCAAAGGAGAAAAGAAAGGAGAATACTACAGATGATTGAAAGGTACAGAGTAGAGCAAAAGTTATATTGTTGGACCTCTTTGGCAGGCTGGTGAAGCCTATGAATCCCTTCTCAGAATAATGTTCTAAAATGAACAAAATTAAATATATAAAAAAGAGTACATAAAAAGAATATACAAAGACGACCAATTCTATTATAATGCAGTCATCCAAATATTTATATTTTTTAAAAACAAGTTCACAGACCCCAAGTTACGAACCCGTGGATTACAGGATAAAAGGGTGCTTACACTAGATAACTTCTGTTTTCCCAGTAAAAATATGTCCCAGTCTAAGAGGGCTCAGGGAGAGGTTATAAGCTCAGAGATCACAGATTTAGAGATCCAAGGGCCCTTAGAGCATATCAATTTTAACTCTTCTCATTTTACATATGAGGAAAGTCAGGCTGAGAGAGTAACTTAGCCCAGGGATAAATGGCTTACCCAAGGAGACACAGCTAATAAATAGCTGGTGCAGGATTTGACCTTGGGCTTTTCTGATTCCAAATCCAATGTTTTAGGTCCTATGAACACAGATTGAGAACTAGAAGGGACTTTAGAGGACCTTGGGTCTAACTCCCCTTATTTTACTGATGAGGAAAATGAAGCTGAGATTGTGCCCATGGTCATAGAATTCATAAGTGGTGGAAGCAGGATCTGAAGTCAATTCTTCTTGACTCCAAGCCCAGAACTCTATCTCCTGAGTCCCCTACCAGCCTAGGTGTTTCATAGGGATTAAAGAAAAAAATGTTTAGAATTGAGTTTGGACTCAATGAGGGAAGAATAAAAGAATTTTTGAGTAGTAGATGAGATAAAAAACAAACATCTAGTGGGATCAGTTAAAACAGCTTCATAACTTTCCTGAGTAGCATGCAAGTAGGTGTAAAGACAAGTGATGAGGTTGGAGTTTGGAAAGGGGTGACAGGGGATGCAGAGGGAACACAAGATGCAAAGGTACAGAATAGTTCATAGCTGAACTGGTCACTTACAGAGGTGTAAAGGGCCTTTCCCCCTGAGGACTGCCACTCTCCCACAATGCTTTGGGACCAAAGAGACCACTCATTGGAGAGAAGAGTTTTAACTGCCTATCTCAGGAGGCTATGAGGCAACATAGGGATGTTTCTTGGGTGAGAAATTCTGAAAGAACCTTTGGGAAAGTACAAAGTGGACTGGAGAAGGAAAATGGCCCCAGAGCTAGGAGATTCCAGCCCATGTCACATCTCATCACATTGAGGTTTGCAGACACTGAGGCTTCCCTCACATCGGCACTTAGACTCTGCTTGTTGTTAAGAGGGACTGGCAGAAGCAGCAGCAGGAAGCTTTCCTTCAGTTCTAGTTCCCATCCAAAGAAACAATGTTTGCAGGCTGCAATGCTTCACGGTTCCAGCGGACACCGAAGACAACATAAGAGATGCAGCATGGTTTCTCGCTACTCATCGTGAATAACTGAGCTATCCTACCTGACACTATGTTGGGAAGACAGATTATCTGGGAGGCAGTAAAACTACCTGTAGGCTGAGTATGCCTTGGGAATTAGGGGTTGGAAGTGTTTGGTGTTACATATGATTTTCCTGATGTTTACCTTACATTTCAATTTAAGATGTCCATTTTCATCACTACAATATGATG